CTACACGAAATAAGAAAACGGAAGGCTAATTGGATTGGTAATGTTTTACGCAGAAACTGCCTTCTAAAAGAAGTTACTGAAGGAAAGATAGAGGGGGGGGATAGAAGTGACAAGAAGACGAAGAAGAAGACGTAAGAAGATGCTGGATGACCTTGGGGACAGAAGAGGATACTGTCATTTGAAGGAGAAAGCTCTAGATCGCAAGAAGTGGAGGAATTGTTTTGGAAGAGACTGTGGACCTGTCGTCTGACAGATTACTGATGATGATGATGATGGTAACTGTCAAGGATTTCTCAGTCATAATGATAATCTTCCATGTCTTTTCGTTCTTAGTAATAATGTGTCATAGTGTAAAGTTATGAATTTCTCCACCATAACGTTAATCTTCATGGGTTTCACTGTCATAATAGTAATCTCCAGTGGTTTCTCCTTTTGTAATGACAACTTTCAAGAGTTTCTCCACCATAGTGCTGAGCGTGGGGAATTTCTCAGCCATGACTTCAATGTTCATGGGTTTCCCCTTCATAATGGTAATGTTCGGTAGTTTCACTTTTGTAATGAAAATGATCATGAATTTCAGATAGTTCTCTGTCATAATGTTGCTCTTCTAAGTATCTAGGTTATAATGTTAGTGTTTGGAATTTTTTCTATCATAATGTTAATTTTCCGATGTTTTCCCGACATGATGATATTCTTTGTGGGTATTTTCGTTATAATTTTATATATTTACGGATTTTTACGTCATAATGTTAATCTTCAAGGACATCCCAATACAGGAACCCATGAAGATGCGCCTAAAGAAGAGACGAAACTTGTCGGATTAAATGGAACACTAATACATATATTATAACGTCGACTTAACAGTTATGACTGGTTATGAACCTTCCTTTACCCCTTTAAAACACTGTTGTAAATATATGTACCATCGCTTTAACATCGCAAAACTGCTTATTTTATCCACAGTTCGCCTATCTGTATTTCGTGTCTCAGAATAAATAGCAAGCATTAACCGAGTGGCCTTCGTAATGGAGAGGCAGTGTTTTTCTGAGGCAGCAGCTGAATTTATAAATGCTACTTGGATGAACTTCGTAATTTAAAGGACTGAAATATAAAATGCCCTTTTTAAATCCTATTCACGTGTGTGTCTTCACAATCATTCAACTGATTGTCCACAATGACTGCAAAACAAAATCCATTCCACTGCACTATTCACCACTACACATCTGATGAAAGACTGCTGATTATGGTTAGGATAGCTACTGTTATAAGCATGCTGATTGTGATATGGTTCTATTGTAGTCGCACAATGGAAACACTGAAATCTCCAGCGAGTGAGACAGCAAATGTGATATCCATTTAGTTCACTTTGCTGTGAACATGACATCTGTCTGCCATCATGTACAGAGACGCCAAGATTGTCTCTTCACTTTATTTAGCCCGTCTTCCATATGGCCATCGCATTCTGCATTTCTGGAATCCACTGAATTTGGTACATAAACGCGTACAAACACAGTACACAGACAATGTTTATTATAACTCAGTCGACACAATTCTGGTACGAACACACCATGCGCTTGCATGTGCCACATGATTCGGCCTGTTGCGGCCATCATCAGGTACAGAGAGCTTTTAAAATCACCCGTCTATCTGATATACTCGTACCTCCTTACAATGGTCAGAGTTCGTACACTGGGAGCGCGCTGAACAGGACCGCCTCTGTGGTCTAGTGGTCAGAGTTACTGGCTACAGATCCAGAGGTCCCGGGTTAGATTCCCGGCGCTACCAGATTTTCTGAGAAGTAGTGGGTCTGGGGCGGGGTCTACTCAGCCTCGTGAGGATAACTGAGGACCTATTTT